ACTATGAAAAAACGGATTAGATAGAACTATTCAGATAAAAATCAAACAGACCAAAGTAAATGGCAGCCTAAACATAAAAACTATGCAAATTCATATAAGAGAATTGAGAGAATCAATAAAAGAATAGCTCATGAAAGCAAGTATTGAGAAAAAAGAGGCTAGAAAGTAGATGTAAATAAGCAAGGAGAACGTTGCGTATTTATAAACTGACTTCCAAGGAAGCGTTGATGACCTCGTGTTGTCTGGCCGAGCTGAGGGAGGCCGCCTCTAAAGCCTGGACGCGAGACCGTTCGCTGCGCAACTGTTCTATCAGATGACTAGACTGGACGAGACGAGTGATGGCGGCGCTCTTGAAAGAGGTTAGCTCAGCACGCAGTTTGGATAGTGATTCGCGGTCGGACATTAGACTGTCGATCAAGTTTTTCTAAAGACCCATGGATTAATTATGGCAAACAAAAATCCAGATGTATAGAGAGATAATGTCACAAAACCAAGATATAATGGTCAATTATAGCATAATTTACAGAATCCTGATAAAAGTAACGTGAATAATGTGAAATATTCCAGAGTAGCATAAACTTGGAAGGGGCATAAAGTTGCATATTTTAGCAACTGAATAGTTTATAGAAAAAATTTGACAAAATAACCTACTTGATTAGAAATAGTCTCCTCAAGTTCCTGCAATTTTTCATCTCTCAAATCCGAATTCTCTCGAGAATGAGCCAATTCTTTATGCACGATTCCGAGCTAAAACGAGACAAAAATGCTATCTGATGTAGCAAAATTAGTCTTGGATTTATGGGGGAAATGACAATGTCACTTAAAATAGGGTGAACACAACTCATATATCTGACTTACTGGTAATCTCTAAAACATTTTTAAATAGCGAAAAAGTAATGACGTCGATTGCTATAGCAAATATAAGTTCGCTTCATTTGCAATCCCAACACAGAATGTGGTATGGAAAATGGCTGGCCTTCCTTGAAATTCACATCTACCCTATGAACCAAGAGCACTCATGGCAATTCGACATAGTAGTTAACGCGTCTAGATTAGACGCTGCACTGTCATGGTTCGAGTCTCTTTGGAGATGTTACTAAGACCTAGGAGAGATCGAAACTACAGTCGACCTGGATGAGAACAACTTTTGGGAAAGCAAAGCAGGTGAAATTCAATGGAGACGTCAACTATGCTCATATCATTGTGGAAAAATTCAACTACCAGTCCTTCACCACCTA